AGTTAATAGGTAGTGGAGTATTGTCTTGCTTTTCGCCGGATTAATTTATGTCTGGTGGTGTTTGTATGAGCCTTATTCTTGTAGTGTCTTTTTTTTTCTATCATCATTTGTTATTTATGGTATTTTGATTGTACACTATTTGTTGTTGTTACTATTTACTTATTAATTGTAATATTTTCTTCAGTGTTACTATTTGATGTGTTATCCTCAAGCTCATGATACAATCTCTTTATCTTTATAACATAGTGATAAAATTTGAGTACACTCTCTCCTCCTAGATGACACTGAGGAATTTCTCAAAATATATTATTATTATTATTGTTGTTGTTGTATATAATATACATAAATTATAAAATTTTAAATATAAAATAATATATAGTACTCCCTCCGTCCCATTTTATGTGACAACATTTGACCGGACACGGTGTTTAAGAAATAAATGAAGACTTTGAAATGTTTACCAAATTGCCCTTTAAAAAGTAGATTCACTTTTCTCTCTCCTCATAAATGTATTTGAGTATTATTTTAAGATTAAGTAGGACCAACAAGGGTAAAAGAGAAATTGTACCTTTAAAATACTTACCATATAAGGAGATGTGACAATTCTTTTTGGGACTGACCAAAAAGAAAAGGTGCAACATAAAATGGGACGGAAAGAGTATTATTTTTCTTATATTTGACTAACAAATATAACTATTTTTAGAAAGGGATAAAATCCTTTTCCACCTTCAACAATATCTATAAACTGATTATTCTCAACTGTAAACCACCCATTCCCACCAAAACAATTTTTTTGGTGTTTTTGGAAGAGGAGAAAAGGGTGATAAAAGAAGAATGCCAACTCTTAATTTGTTCACAAATTTACCAGTAGATGCAGTTATTGCTTCTGATATTCTCAAAGATGCTACTAAAGCTGTTGCAAAAATCATAGGCAAACCAGAGTCAGTTAAGTCATTTTGGACTTTATTCTGTTTTCATTCATATTTATATTGACTGCTACCTGTTTGATAATATTCCTCTGAGAAAAGTTTTTATCAATCATTTAGTGGTAATTGTAAATATCTTTACTTCTAATTTTTTAGGTTGGAAATGAAATTGGTTTAGTAGTATTTACATAATTCCACTCATCAGGATGTTTTTTTAAAAAAAAATAAAAAAATGGGGGTAGGGGAAGTAGAAATGGGAGAGGGGATTACAAAGTGGGGAATCGGTGAAAGTTCAGGTAACCAACCAACTAAGTAACTAAGATTCTCCCTTAACACAGGTTTTTGAGTCATGTGGTCCCTTTTTTTTTGTTAGTATAACCATATGCTATCCGGAATTCACGACTAATTCCATTTAAGGGAGCTGCATAGGGGCCATTAAAGAGGGAAACATTCCCTATATTCTTTTCTCCATTGTCAGGCTCGAACCTGAGACCTCTGGTTAAGAGTGAGATGAATTATCCCTCTCACCACACTTGATGGTCATGTGGAGGTTAAGTGGGAACATGTTCAGAGATGGGGTAAAGAAAAAGAAAAGAACTTTTACATGGGTTTCAGCTTACTGGGGACATGACCTTAGATAAGAAGTTGTGGAGGATACGACTTAGGCCGGAAGGTTAGTAGGAAGTTGTAGAAATTCCATGGAAGTTACTAGTAATCGTAATAATGGGGCCAATTCTCTAGGTCCGTACTAGTAGTCGTAGTATTAATACTGTAGTTCTTATCCAATGATGTCTGGTACTATCTGTGGTTTCTTGCACTTCGATTATCGTATTATTTTCTTGTAGTTATGGTTTCTTTTTTCCAGAATGCTTTGACAGCCTCTCTACCTCTCAAGGTAGGGGTTAGGTTAGCGTACACTCTACCCTCCCCACACCCTACTTGTAGAACTATAGTGGGTATGTTGTTGTTGTTGTTAAATATAAACTGAAAATTTTGAAGGAAATATTAACTTTAAGAAGAAGAAGATAATAGTGAAGGGGATATTTTTAATAAGTAGGGAAGTGAGATGAGTAGAAAGACAAATTTAATCCTTTGTTGCTCAAAATAATGAATAACCAGGTTAGCTATGAGAGACCAAGTTAGTTGTTAATGAAGACTATATTAGCACCTAACAATATTTACCCCACCAACAGGAAGAAATCAGTATCCTCTAGCAAATGGTAGTCGGGAGGATATAAACTCTTAAATTGGACAAGAATTAATATTTGATGGGATTTAAACCTGAGACTGAGCACTTCCACCTTAACCATTAGGATAAGTCTTTATTGCCCATAGCTTGTAAATTGTTGTTTGTTAGTTTGGGATCACAACTGAAAGAAATATTTGGTTTTTACATTATGATGGTAGATTAGAAATGCAGAATCCAATAAATATTTTAATGCCAATTCTTGTGGCGTGGAAAACTTTGGCGATTGAGTTGTTTCATTTAGGGCTTGTCCATTCTACTCTATTTCTTTTTGTGCTAGTATAACGGAAATATAAGTGTTTTCTTAGGATTTCTTCGTCCCAAAGCAGCAGTACAAGTAAATTTAGTACTCTCTTTTTCCAGTAAGTAGAATACTAGCTTCCAGCAATTGTGGGGTGACTTAAGTGAGGGTTATTTTTCTTATTGCTGATTGTAAGGACCAGAGTTTCAATATATGAAGATGGAGTTGGTTTAAGGAGAGTTAATAGTGTCAAAGTTTAGTTTGTTTAGAATGAAATGGTGTGGTAAGCTTCTCTCTATCAAAGAGTGCTCTATATCAAATTTCTCCTTAAGATGAAAATTTCTACCATGGATTTATAAATACAGGTGCAACTAGCAATAATCTGATTATCTCTTAGTTTCACTCTATGGTAGAGTGAGTTTACTCTTGTGGAAGTATGTTGACATAACTCTACTTGTTTTTCACCAGTTTGTGATGATCTTGTTGAATGGAGGAGTTCCTATTGCATTTGCTGGTACCGAAGCTCCTGCTGCATATGGAGAATTAATTTCCATTGGAGGTCTTGGACCTAGTGTGAATGGCAAACTCAGTTCAACCATTGCAGAGATTCTTCAGACAAAACTGTCAATAGACAGCGACAGATTCTATATTAAGTTCTATGATTCTCCGGTAAGTCTTTACGAGAACAAAGAAGGAAATGATGTTCTGCGTTTTCCGCTACGCACCCTGTCCCCCCCACCCCACCCTTTCCTTTGTCCACTGCAAGAGAATTAGTTTATGTGCAATGCGCTTCCCCTTGTCTTGACCAATTAAAGGAATCATCTACTGCTTTCATTTTTGATGATGCCTGGATCAAACAGAACTAGTTCAATCAACCCTAGTGAAGTTAAGACCTTGTTTGTGTTTTTAAAAGTTGGTGTGATATATCGAGCATATTGCAAGTTGTTTATTAGTAAGGATCACTCCGCAATGAGGGGATAAAAATAGATGAAATTTGTATTTATATTGAATTAGTCATAAAGTTTGTTCTGAAATTTGTGGAGAAGAACTACTTAAAGTATCCATATGGAAAACAACTTTCATGTTAATTTTAGCTGAGGTTGAATTGATGTCTTCCGTTGATTTTGTTTTTAATAACTGTGGTGTCCGGGCCAGTTTCCACGCACCTCGACTAACTCCCAAACTGCATTACTGTTTCCTCAATATATTCTTTTTCAGTTGAATTTGGTTGTCCATGTATGGAATCCTACTCATAACTGATTGCCGATTGGTTAAAGTTAAACTACCCATACTGGGATGCATTGATGGAAATATCCTACAATCCTATTAGAATTGTTTCTACTATGAAATAGAATCTAATGAACAAGAAGAAACAACAATAACAACAACCATGTCTCAATCCCAAGCAAGTCACTAGAATCTGAATTCGTACATAATAAGTAGAAATGTAACTTATAATCTACTTTTTGGTTGCACTTATCCATGCTCAACCACAAACTTGAGTTATTGCTGCATTTAGCTTAGTTCTTGTGCTTTAGTCTCGCGTTGTCATTTTTTATTTGACCATGTTTACATCTATGTAAAGGTTTTGTCAATGTTATATCTTAACTGAAAATCCTTTTCTTTGCATGCAGCGCCCATTTTTTGGGTTCAATGGCTCAACTTTTTGATGAACCTGCTTAAAAATAACTGCTCTGGAGTCTGGAGAAGGAACTTCTTGGTACAGCAGCAGTTTAAGACTTCATCTGCTCTCAACTGTGATCGTTTCACGGAAGAAGTAAACCCTTCTGATATGTTCAATTGGTGATACTTTTGTACAATGTCTGTACAATATTTTGCTTGATTGTGAGTTTCGTAGCGCTAAGAAATAGGAAACTATAATGCATATTTCAGCATTAACATATGCCCAGCATAGGGCTAGTTTTCGAAATTTAGTGCTTCTGTTGTCTTCTACTTTTAACTGCAATCATTCTTAAATAGATTTATATTATGTTTTTATACAAGTCAAAGAAGTTCTAAGTGCCACCTACTTTGTCTAATAGTGTCATCGCAATGAATTATTTTGTTTCTTTTATTACAATCATGTGTTATAAGTGCATACATTAGTTTTTTTTTTTTTTACACATTATTGAAATCAGGCAAGTTTAAATGGATAGCTGATCAGAACTTGCTAAGGATAGACGCATAAAAATTGGTGTTATTATTGTTGAGTAGTAGGATAACTACATATTATGAAAACATTGTTTCGAGTTATAAATTAAAGCAAAAAATATAAATTTTAATGATACACATTCAAAGATGATGTGAAGCATTATTTATTGCCATCCTTGGTTTTATTTGCAACAACTCAGGAATCCAAGTTAAACATGCGAAAAAAGTGTACTTGGACCTAATATTTAGGCCAAATCGCGTTAACTTATTTGCACATGATGTTATACCAAAACCACTATACTTTACCATGTTTAAGTGAAAAATAACAATGACGATATATATGCCATCGTAAACTGTTCTACATTTTCTGCTTACTCATCAAACACCTTAAAATAACTTTTCCATGAAGAACATTTTTCTCCGTCCCAAACACTTGTTAGTGATAAAATACTAAAATAGTGTGGCGTTAATACCAAGTCAGCACAAGGTTTTTTTCCCACAAGGACACTAACAATGGATAAAAACTACAAGTAACTTCCCTGGCTATGCAAACACCCAAAAATGGTGTAATGGTTAGTTGGTTACACATGAAATTCCCAGAAGGGTCAAGTGATAAGCTGTTCTAATTTTTTTGTACTGTATATATGCATAGTAACCATGTCCCTGACTTACCCTGAAACAGAAATTTGTCCGAAATATTTCTGAAGATTAAACGGTATCAAATACCAGACTAAACGTCATTGATCTGACATATACTTCATTTAGCTCCTCCTTCAGAAAGCTTGGGTTCAGCATTGGCTGTTTGAGGTCTGGCTCCTCCTTCAGAAGGACCTGCGGCAGTGGTGTAGGTTGCTGGACGAGGGTACATCACATTCTTGATTACAGAAAAGTAGAGATCAAAATCTGCTTTGTATTTAGAGCAGTGTGCTTCGATCCACATCTCAGCTACACTGGTGGGCACACTATCCTGGTTGTCCTGCCCATGCTCTTCAATGGTAGGGCGAATTTCTTCATATACGGAATTAAGCTTCGAAGTTGCTTCATTTTTTAACCCCTGCATTACATTGGCAAAATGTTTTAGAAAATTTACACAAAGCGGCATCATTTTTTATCCCTTGCATAAACATTGGCAAAAGTGATCAGAAAAATTACAATTAGGTTTTCCTTCCACAAAACGAGTTTAGTATTTCAACGCTAGTTTAACCACCCATGCCTGACAAAGATTAATAATGTGGCATCACAAACGAGAATTAGGAGGTTTGCCTTTTTCTCTACCTTTCCTTTTTTGGGGGGTCGGGTGGGGGGTGGGGGACATGGAAGATGCAGTCATGATGATAACAGCAACTACCTGGAAGTATTCTATCCAACCCGTCAACCCCCGTCAAGTTTTCTCGTCCCCTTTACTTCTCTTGCAAGTGCTACAGAGTAGATAATGAGCCAAATCCATTGATAGATGCGTCAAGTTTTCTCGTCCACTTTACTTCTCTTGCAAGTGCTAGAGAGTAGATAATGAGCCAAATCCACAGATAGATGCTAAAAGCATTTCCAACTTCAAGGATTTTCAACACATCACCATTCCGCGTTAGAAAATTCTTAGATACTACTACGATGCCATTACTGTTATTAAACATGCGAAAACCTAACAGACAGAGTTGCAATGCTCCAACAGAGAAAAGGACTCAGGCTGAGAAAGGTGGGAGGTTTGGCTAATCAGTCAGATTAGCAAATATTATCAGAAATTGTGCAACTTCTTTGCTAGGAAAGGAATCGTATCCACATAAGGAAGGATCAACAAGGAACACCACATAATTCCAATTCTTGAGAACCTTCTGAATTTTTTTTAACAGAGATGAGCAGTTAATTAGGTTTTCACTATGACGAGCATATATTATTTGAATACAGTAAATATGCTTCCGTACTTCATGAGAATACAAGGAAATAAATTTGTGTAAACGAGAATTCCACCAAGTGAAGGATATGATATCAGCTCTACTGATAATTGAGAAGCACCAAAAAAATAAAAAAAACTTTCTGCTCAAAACTGTACAATGAGGTACACATGTCATCCTAAAATCAAGGAGTTTGGTTCTGGTCCAGTTAGGTTTTCATGGTTGCTACAGATATGGTTATAAACAGCAGAATAAGATATGTGCTCCATGGTGAAGCAAAAAACAAAATAAAATAATAACCATAACAACATAAAGTGAACAAAAAGAAGATTGAGGTATATCAGTTACTACTCCTTAGAGCACTTACTTGTACATGGATATATTTATCTAAAGAAGAGCTCATCAAAGCTAAATGGAGTAGAAACATTAGCCTCTTCGCCAACCCATGGAAAAATATGAAAGAAAAAATTGATAAAGTTGCCTACAACTATGACGTCTTACAAAGAAAAGGTAATCATACCTCGTACATGGTAACTTCTTCTCGTGCTTCCTTCGATGCGAACAATTTAGCAAAATCTCCACCATTCACTTGCTTACGGCTGGAAGATTTTACCTTCCGCTTGGGAAGGCGTTGGGCTTTCTTCTTCGGTGTTGAACCAGATCCAATATTAAAACTCTTACAAGTGGTATTACTTGGTTCCAACTTGAGTGTAGACCCCTCACTGTCATTCAATATTTTATTTTGCTCATTTCCTCCACTAGTTCCAGAGATCACTGGCAAAGAGTCATCCTCTGCCGAGTCATAAAGTGGAACTTCCTCCACTGTATATCTGCAGTAAGAAAGCCAGATTAAGATAAATATCCAAGAATTAGAAGGAAATGAGTAAAAGCTGTAGAATCCAAACTAATATTTTAGGCAATTTTCTCTGATGGAACTCACTACCTGAAAATTTCTTTCTTATCACTGTTGACAAATAAGTGAACTGTCTCGTGTTATACCATTTAGTGATAAAGTCAAGCTCAAGTCATCCAACAATGAACCAAAAGCTAACAAGCTTCACCTTTGCTATATTATTTGACCAGTCCCTTATGACTTAAACATGTAATATTTCAGAAAATAGTATATTCTCTCTTCACCGTGTTTCTTATTCTTTTAAATGATGGTGGTGTTTGGGTCAACTTACATGCATCTCAACTAATTACACCAAGTACCTGCTACCTCCCACCAACACAGGTACTAAGTAACTCTGTCCACCAAGGTATTGGATACCTAAACCCGACGACTTCATGGATCTCCCCCAATTCATTGACCACTAGAGTCACACCCTTGTGTGCTCTCTCAATACCATACATGTTTCTTACAAGTAGGAAACGAAAGGCTAGCTACTATGTGGGAAACATAGAATGACTATAATAAATTGTAGAGCAGTGAGAAGTAAGCCCATCATATGATATCATTTGAGCTTTCCCTTTCCTAAGATCCTGGACGTGATACTTACACATGAACTTGGCTACTGGTTTGATCAGTTCAAAAGTCAAGCAAGGAAAGGAAAGGTCTGTTAATTTTATCCAGAAATATCATTTTCGGTCTATCTATCGATTGAACCAGAGGCTGGGCTCTTGTTAATAGACATAAGATGTGGGATTATGAATAGTGAAAGAGCAGCTCTACTCATAGCTCTACTCATACTTTTGCTTATGGAAAGACATTAGACACCTAATAAAACATGCAAGATCTCTTACAAAGCCCTTGTCAGTCACATTTATGTATCTCAATGAGCTTCGAATGGTATCACTAATGTTTCTCGAGATAAATCCAAAACTTTGAAGATCTAGAACAATATGTTTAATGCAAGATTACTTCAAGTCTTCTCAAAATAAACATACAGATCAAGTCTCCTCATTGTGAATCCAAAAGTCCACTTTCTTTTCCGTAATTCACAATAAAACATTGATTTGTTTATTGAGTTAACAATAACAACATGAGAAAGAGCACACGTATCAATAACCAAAAAAAACAGAAGAACAAGAAGAAGAGGAAGAATACATGAGGAGAAAAGTAGCAATCTAACACGGCTGTAGCCTGTAGACATCTTTATTTAAGGTTTAAACTTTCATTACTTATAAGTCTACAGATCCACAGACTATTTCATAAAGTTATTAACAGATCAAAGCAAATCAAGTTAACAGAACTAGAACCTTAAGATTTGTACAAACTAAAAAAAAACAAAGTTGAGCATTACCTGACATCCCCATCTTCCCAGACATGGTTGTACTCCTGAACAAAGATAAAAAGAAAATAAAAAGAAAAAGAGATGAGTCTGACAAGACTTATTTCTAATTTAGAAGCATCTATTATGTTTTAGAGAACAGAAGAAAGCATATGCCAACAGGCAGCTCTTTCCTCCCCTTTCTTTGATACGTTGCCAATATGAGCACCTTTACCACATTCTTTCTCATAAAATTTCATTTGAATTACTTAGTTCTACTATTTACGTTATAGCTGGAATTATAGTTCCTCCTCAAACAATCTCAAATCAACTGTGAAATCTATGTCCAGTGTGACAATTTAGAACCCCTTAAGATTGGGTATTCAATGTTGCAATGCTATCATCCTGAAAGATAGTGACAATTGGTTTATATGCTAATTTAAACCACTTCAATAGTGAGGCTTATCAATATCAACAAGAAACAGAATCTGAGATCTCATTGATCAACCAAGCTTTAAATGAGAATAGCAAAGAAGACATCTACTGCATGGACTTCCATTTTTGTGCTCAAGATTCAAACATAATAAGCTATAAGCATTTATCTTTTTCTTTTTATCAGTGCAATAAGCATTATCCTGGATTACTTTCTTTTTCAGCCTCAAAAGCAACATGCTATTTATCCTCTGATAAAATACAAGGTCACTGTATTGTGGTGTATTTAGGCCCGCTCTTGGATGAAGGAAGAATATATATGCAAAGAAGTAACGGAAAATGACCACGATACATCCAGAGCTTCACACTTGAGAAGTACAAGATCTTAACAGAAAGAAGATGGCACTTCCACTGAATCAATAGACAAGAACAAAATATATTCTTTTAAGATGTCATAACTCTGCAACAATTTTAATACCCGACATTAAAGAACAGACTACGATCAGAAAAAAAGACTTAGGTTGGTAAGGATACACCATACTACAACATGTTATTTGCGGATTGTAGTATGTGACTAGCAAATTCAATCTATATGCATAAGTCATTAATCATTTTGTTGTCTAAATTCTTGGTAAGAAGGAATAGGTGAAATCAGGCTACAAAGGACATTCCAGATATAACAATTCATAAGAAACTTAAGTTACCTGGAATCCTTGAGACTTGGCACCCAGAAATATAGAACAGTTTGCAGCTCCACACAGACACTGAACAGTTGCACCCCCGTACCACTCAAAATTATAGTTGTATGCCAGCTCCATTCCAATAGATATATCCTGCTTTGCAAATATTCCTACCCTTGTTTCCCCTAACACTGTCCATTTCCTTGTTTCACAATTTGGCGAGCTGGGAAATTTAGGAACACAGTATAAGTACTCTCAAGCAACACCAATTAACCGTAATAATTTGCCACTGACTGACCAAGATTTGTATTTTATTTCACTTTTCATCAATTTGACAATTGGCGTTTCAGCACTTACCATGAATGATTTATGAATCTTGCAAAACTTCCCTTCCGGGTGGCATCAATGAAATGATTAGCATCCAGAGAAATTATGTACGCGTCCTTGAGCCCTGCAGAAATCATACAAAATTATAGTAGTGATCTGTAGATGCATTGACAACCATATCTAAAGTTGATAACTTACCATGAGCTTCATAAGACTGAGACCTTTTCTTTGCTTCTTCAGATGATATCACTTCTCCACAGTATTCAATGATGAACTGTCCAGCCTAATAATGTAAAAAGATAGGAACAATTGGTTGATTGCAGCTAATTAAGAATAAGCATTAATACAGTAACTGCACAAAGGCCTCTGTTATATTCCACAGAAAGCCCATATTCGATAGGCTCAGTTTTGGAATTTTTTCTTCACGTGACTGTCAAAAAAAGAAAAATCTTTTTGTATATGCCAAAACTGAGTTATACAAATTAACGGTCACCTAAAAATAAAATAGGGGCGTTGCTTCAGCAGAATTACCTTTATATTCTCATCAGCTAAAAGACCCCAACCACGCCCTTCAGTCCTGAACAACTTAGTTTTTGCATATTCACATTTCTGGAATCTCTGTGGACAGCAAGCAAAACACTTCAAAATAATATACCAACAATTATCTAAGTGACACTCACTGTCACTTTCAAAAACGGCACTAAGTAGAATCTCCATTAGTTATTGAAACAGTCAACTACATATAAGGAACTACAAACCCTTCCTCGCAGTAGATGAAAGGATAAATTTAAGTGAAGAAAAATTCTCAATAGGAAAGAACTAAATAACAAACAACACTTATTTTTAATTTATTCTTTGTTTATAAAAGAATAACTAGGAGCGATTATGCCATACAGCAAGTGCTCGGAACAAAGCAAGTTCAATCAAACAGATCCCCAGTTTCTCAGTGTATCTGATAGATGAACCGCTAATTCTGAAGCAGCATTTAATCATACCCCGATGAAATAGGAAACCTGATGTATAAATATAGAGATCAATAGTTGCATTTTATCACAAAAGATCACTCAAACCCAAATATCACACCTTCCCAGAAAACATTCTTTCAACCAAATCTTTGGAACAAATGAGTCACCATTTACAGTTATAGATAGCACATAACCTCTCTAGGGTATTATATATGCAATGACCACACACTTTGCTGCATGAGCATAGCATAAATTTATTTTTTTTGAAACTGGTAAGGATTGAAAATTTTATATAGCTCAGCTTCCTCATATCACATAAATCTCTAGAAAGAGCAACATATGGTGCTTTTAATAGTCAACAGATGTTTTTAATCTACACAACATACAATGGAGCTCCTTTATAGGAGTATAGTCTACACAAAATAAGGAATATTTCCTAGTCACAAGGATGCCTAATAGTACAACCATTAAGAATATTCCTTTTTTTATGTGCATGATGTAATGCCCATGTTAGATTTTGTCAGCTCATTACAAACATTGCAAGGTTCTGAGATTTTTCTACGTTGTAATTATCGACTCCAACGCTCTCTTTATACTGGTCAGTTTCTAATAAAATCACTTTCACTTGTCAAAAAATGTATCCTTACATACAAACTCACCCAGATTTTCATTTTCATTAGTCTCTGGGCACGCGTATTGCGCGTGTACCCCACATCTATTATACAGTCTATTTATTATTTTATGACTTTATCATTGAAAACCTTAATACAAGATCAACTTGGACATTGTTTGTGATTTCAAATGACCAATTGTGACCAATTGTGACAACTTAAACATCAGGGCTACTAATATGCCAATGTCAACAATCTTCTCAATAAAATCAATTCATAAATAAGAAAATATAGTGCTAAAACTTTGGGATGTAAAGAAAGAGTAAACAACAGTTGCAGGTTGATCATTCTACATACAATTACTTAGGAAAAAAATATATAGTAGAAAGCTTGTTTGACTTAAATGTTCAACTATATTGTCCACATCTAATCAAAAACCAAGTAGACAACAGAATTTTTTGAGTTTTTCATTCAAGAATTCCCATTTTGGAAGGAGACCGACACATCCAATTAAAAAGCTTTCAGCATGAAATAGCTATTACACAACTTCCATTATGTGTTATAGCTCGAACCTTGAAGAAAGGAGAGAACTATAGAAGTCTTATACTTCTGTGTGCAATGAAGTTGTTCTCCTTTTATTTTCCACCTGCACTCAACTTTTCTTTTGCTTTCTTCCTCCTCCTTTTCATCTCAACTTGGAGTTAGTTGAAAGGAAAGTTCCTAATTTATAGCAGTTAAATAATAACTTTCCAAATGTAATTTGGAACTATCAAGATGAATTTGGTGTGATGCCTATTAAGAAAACAATTGAATGTGATCTTTCAAATTCTTTGCCTTTAGAGAGTAATAACAACTGACATCCTACATCATCCCCAACCTCCTCCCCTTAATTTGTTCCCCATTAGTAAGTACAGGTTTGGTAGATGAATGGGCTTGTAAGCTGATGGAATTAAAAGTAATCATTCATGGAATATAAAATAACAAACAATTAAGGCTGCTTAGTTGAGATAATTAAACCGACAAATTGATGGAATACAAGTTATTACTTAATTATTTAATGGGGGTAATTTTATTGTTAGGAGAGGATAAATTGGTCCTTCAATATTTAAAGGGTATTTTTGTAATCTAACTTTTAACTTAGGATGTTCCCACTTTTAGTATAGTATGATATGATGAATTGATGATGATGATTAAAATGGATCCAAATATAAAAGCAGAGAGGTCAATGACATGGAGTGGACAAACGATCCGAACTCCGAAATATTAAGGAATTAAGACTTCCAAAACCAAGAAGAAATGAAATAAGAAAAAGATCCGAGAACAATCACTTGTAAGAAAGAACATGTGAAGTTATGGATCAAAGAATATGAGGGATGCTCCTAGCCCGCACAAAACGAAATCACTAGTAGGCCATGAGCACAAACAATTGTTGAATAAACCTGTATTTTAGATAGTATTACAGTACAGAATTGGCCCAAAGTGAGCAAGGTTGATCCCAGGAAAGGTGAAAGAGGAGAAGCAATAAAGGGGCAATCATAAAGCAACAGATGCAGGAAACAGTTTGTCTTAGGCCTCCAATCTGATGATTCATCTCAAGAGGGTGGATGAGGGGAAAAAAACATGATGGAAAATACTAAGATAAAGGTTACTTGATAGCAGACTTGTCAAAAAAAGTTATTTAGAGAAGAAGATTGCTTCTTCAAGCCATCTAGAAGTTCCCTTTGCCAAATTAATATGAAGATCTTGCTGTCTTAGTGGCTGATAGGGAGGAAGTGCTTAAAATAATAGTCGAAGTTCTACTTGGGTATGAAGAGTCCCATGAGGCACAATAGAAAAGGGCAGCATTAGGAGACTGCTAAAGAAGAAATTATAGAAGTAAAGCATGAAAAGTTGACAAGACAAGAAACTGGATAAAGCTCCATCACATGAAATATACGAGGAGCATCAAGTGGAAGACTGCATAATAAGATGGTTTAAACCTAGTTTTAGAAATGGGTTATGGTAAGAATGGTCATAGAAATGTATTTTGATGGGTTCTTGGTTGAATAGTTTCAGGACTGCATAAAAACTTCTCACAATTTGCATCTTTTTTCTGTTTTTTATTCCTTTATCATTAATTTTTAGGATAGTTTCTAGTTCTTTTTTATATAAGCATCAATCAGAAGAGATAAATTTCTGGAGTTGGGACTCTATCCTAGGTCGTCGATCAAAGGAAAGAACTTGAGTGCCCCTATATAACCAGTTCGCCTTTTGGCTTCTATAGTTCCAAAGAAGTGTTTTTACAAAATTTATATACCCATCCAAATAAATGTGTAAATATCATTCAAAAGAGCTAATGAAATCATATTAACAACAATGAATAGCTATAAATTAACACTAGGAAAGGTAATGCATAACATGACCTTTTTGAGCTTATCATGAAGGTTCTAAAATACCACTACTTTCACTCTCTTTCTCAACGTGTACTTGTAACACAAATTTGAGGCACTACCCATAAAATCTGCTGTAAGTTGGAAATCGATAAGATCTCTGTAAAAGTAAGCTAATATGAGTAACATCAAAGAAATGTTCAACTCATTAAATGAATCATATTTACCTGATTTCTGCAAGTCGCACCACACTGACAGTACCCCGGGGTACATTCAGTGTTGGTTATTACGTTCAAGCATCTTTCTACACATGCACTTTCAGGATCACTTGCATCATAGTTGCATTCACAGATAGCAATATCATCCTCTTTCAGTTTCTTATGCCTGTAAGACGTTAGAACATTCCAATTAAAATTGACTAACTACAGCCAAGATGAGTGATAATTGAAAACCATTCAACTCCAAATCAAGGTCAACTAATCTAGGTATATGCATCTTCAGGGCACCAATTTTTTTTTTTTTTTTTTTGAGGGTGATTTTTTGGGATTCAAGTTAAGACATCAGGAAGCTTCAATCTTGAAAGCCAAAAAGCTATAAATCACATAATTAAGAAGCAGGACACAAAATATCTAAGGAATGAAACAAAAACTTATTTCTATCACAGAAAGAAACTAATTTTCTGTTTCTCATCTTTATAGAACAAGGAAAAAGATGAAACATAAGCATTATAAAACATTAGTTTCAACTCACTGAAAATTCTTCCTTTTAAGCTTGACTAGATATAATCCGGAGTTCAAATTTCTTCTTTTACTCATTTTCTTGCCATTGAATTCATACTCCAGGCCATCCTTGGCACAACATGGAACAAGGTACAATAGTTTATCAACGCTTAATCTCTATTTTTTTTAATCAATGGTTTATGAAAATTTGTGTCTTAGAAGTGAAAACAATAGCAATAACCAATGTCTTTTGCATAGTTGTAGTATCCGGATCTTAGATACCCGAACCAACTTGTGGACCATGACTAAAATCAATATGCCATGCAAGTGGTACTTACAATTGCAAACAATGTCACAATAATTCAGAAGTCTAAGCAACAAGTGTATGAAAATGAACTTCAAAATTTAAAGATTATCAAAAGAAAGAGACAAAGAGTACGGTTAACTGGCAGGGAGATGATCATTAAAAGTAGCAAAGAAAGGATTTGAGCTCACTTTCGCCCTAAAAACTCATTTTGAGTAATATGAATGAATGGTGTTACTCCTTCTGGCAGTTGAACCTTCAAAAAAGAAGAAGGAAATAATTCACCACATTACTTGATGTAAATAGAAATATAGAATGGCATATTGTAATGGAAAATCACTTATATATAAGCAAAGGGGATGCATTTATTGTACAGGCTCCATAAACATTTTTATACAGTATTATCCTAGCAAATATAATGGGTAAGTTGCTGTTGTATCCTAGCAAATATAATGGGTAAGTTGTGGTTGTTGTATCCTAGCAAATATGCGACTGATAAATGGGCAAATCAAATATCATATATATGTATATATTATGAAACCTTGACTTTAAGACTTACTTTTGTTACTTCTTTACTTTTATTTCTGTGTTTTGATGAATATTCAGTTTGGATTAGGATTGGCTTACCTATTGGTGGGTTAGATGTCATCATGACCTTGGTTTTTTGGGTAATGATGAGTTCCAAAGTGAATATTGTCTTGTGTGAAGTTGCATGTTTTTCCAGGCTTCACATGATGTAAACAAAGTACGACCATTGTGTCTTTCTTTCTACTTCTAAGATCTGCTTTAATGATTTTCCTTTATTTCTCTCTTTCCCTTACTCTCATTGTCGCTTGGAGCAGGTACCTTAGAAATACAAAACACACAGTAGGGCCTGTTTGGCCATGAAAATTACGAGTATTTGAAAAAAGTAATTTTTGTTTCAAAGTGAAAAATGATATTTTGTTTGTCCATGAATACAAATTGGAGTTGTTTTTTAATTTTAGTCAGTGATTTAGAGTGAAAACAATTTTTTGGTGTTTCTCAAATTCCAAAATTTTCCAAATTTTTATTCCAAACGTGATTTCCAAATTGAACTCTGGAAAAAGTAAAAATACTCATGGCCAAACACCTACTAAGTCCATGCAACATCACACTTTTAAATTTACAACATGCTTGAGAAATAGTGAGTAACAGAACATGAACTTAGGCATACCACATTGCTTTTGTCTTCGTCTGAATGCAACATCTATGCAACCTATGTCAGAAATCTGGAAACTCAAAAAACTCAACATAGTAAAAGGTTTTCATCAATTTCATATCCAAGCACAAGATCACACACAACCCAAAAACAAAAAAAAACTATTACATATGAATAAATTAATATTAGAGAAGTCTTGTTTCCTTCTACCAAGAATTCGGACCCACAAAAGAACTTACAACAACAATTGGAGCGGGGGTTTTACCCTGTGCGCACCCAAAAGGGTAGTGGCTACGGGTTTCCCTTGTTATCCAAAAAAAAGAACTTACAACAACAATTGGAGCGGGGGTTTTACCCTGTGCGCACCCAAAAGGGTAGTGGCTACGGGTTTCCCTTGTTATCCAAAAAAAAAAGAACTTACAACAACAACATACCCCGTGAACCCACAATAGAGCTTGAAAAACAAAATAATTCAAAGGCGAAATTTCTCAAAAATAGAATTACCAATGCCCAACAACAACAACATACCCCATGTAGGGACTACACTGTGGGGTCTGCGGAAGAATTACCAATGCCCGTAAACATTAATATTTTAGATAAGATAACTATTAACCCTTTAACATTTTTTTTTTTAAAAAAAACTTTGAGTGGAATTCCTCCAACACCCGTAAATGTTTTTAAAAAATTGATAAAATCATAAATCACCATTCAACCAAAGAGATATACACACAAAAATCTTGAGAGAAAAAAAAAACAGGTAGAACAATCTTATGCTATAAAATGGGTTAATTCAATGTGCGTTAGCATAAAATGAGGAAAAAAAAAACTAGTTCCAAGTACTATACACAAAGGTATCAAATGAGTGCTCCACATATTTATTGTTCATTAAAAATGGGGAGGGGATTCCAAGGTGGGCAATGAACCCCATCAACAAGATAAAAATTCAGGTAGTCAACAAATTACGCTACTAAGATTTCCCTGAGTACTCCAAACAAATGTTTAAGGTTTGGGAGAAAAAAACAACCTAAACACATAAAAAAAGAGAAAATCTCAAAAGCAATTCCATTCGGGGTTGCACAGATAGTAAGCACCCTCACCCAACCTTGAGTTTATGGGTTCGAGCACCAATGGAGCAAAAAGGGCGAGAGCTCGGATAACAACAACAACAAAAAATCCCTTTTTGAGTGAAATTTCTCCCAACACCAGTAAATGTTTTTACAAATTTCAATAACATCAGAATTGGCCATTCAACCAAAAAATAAAAACACAAAAATCATGAAAAAAAATCCATACAGAAAAGGGTTAAATTCAATGTGGGCAAACATAAAAACTAGTTCTAACTACTCTACACTGAGTTCACATATATGATTATTAAGGTATGAAGGGAAAAAAAAGGCAAATTGAACTTACCTTTGGACAAATTGATAGGAATTAGGGTTCTACAAAAGCTTAATAATCATTTTTGTGTTTATAATATATACATATACACAAAAAAACATCATGTGTTTGTTGTGAAGAAATAAAGACTCTCAATTCTGAATGCCCAGATTTTCAGACGGTTAGCAAAAGGTTTTTAGGTACAGCAGACAAATTTTGGGTTTTTGAAATTTTGAAGACGGATGGTACGACGTCGTTGTGGTTTGAAATTATGTATATTTATTTATTTTAAAAATTAGATATTTTATATGATTAATTTAAAAGATAGACGAATTAAAATAGATTGTAGAAAAAATAAATTTAAATTAAAAATGTATAATTTAGACATTTTATTATGAATTGGGGTGTTTAATTGAAATAAAGTAAGATAAGTAATATTTTGAAACTTATATCTATGGATTCATAATTTGCATAATATAATATTGAAATTCAAAAGCTTAATATATATTTATATTTTTGTCTATTCAAATTACAATATTTGATCATTAATAACTTATAACCTTATGATTTAAATTATAAGGTAATAGTTCAAGAAGGTAAAGAAAATAATATCTAGTTAAAAATTAAAATATAAATTACACAAAAAATGTCAGTTTAAATGTATTATTATTATTTGTTATAAAATAATATATTGTGGATGTCCACTATACCAAGAAGTTATTACATTACTTCCCTCCATTATGAAGATAACATCCACCTTTATGATCATTATTCTTGTAACATTTCACCTCCATAACCTCCTCCATTATATTCATGTTTAATGTCATGTTCATGACTAACCTTTCGTATGCCTCTATGTTACACTATAAATAGAGGCATAAGGGTCTATATTGTATACACTTGAAAATTTGGTGAACACTTGAAAGAAAGAAAGTTATCTCATATTGTTCCTCTTGTCTTATATTCTTCATCTTTATGTTGTTCTTTTGTTTTTAAGTTTTACGACACGCTATCAGCACGAGTTACTCATTCTCCATCAAGAATTAATGGTAGGTATTTCTTGATTTTTATGAATTATCCTAGTAATTCTTCAGTTGCAAGGTATACTTCATATCCAAAATATTATTTGTACTAACAAAGCTTGTTTTGTGGTTATTTTAAAATGGTTAGTAAATTATGATAATCTTCATAACAATATTGAGAGGGACTATTAAAATGTTTTAATTTATTTTAAACTTGGGACTTTTATATGGTTCTAACATGTTGTTCTAATTAATTAGTTTTGTTAATTTTTATTCAATTTTAAGTCAAATTCAAATTATATTATGGTATTCAATATTTATTTTTTGGTAATGTTATTGGTTTATTAAGACATTGATTGAGGGTAAGACGGTGAATTCAAGTTTCACCGCACCAAGTGGGTAAGACATCAAGTTAAAGTCTCGGTGCACCATGATAATAAGAAGTTGGGTTCAAGTCCCATTGATTTATGACTAAATGCGTCTTTATATGGGTAACACATTAGGTTTAAGTCCTAGTGCACTATAGTGATGATACTATGATGACTAACATAAAGTTGTATACTTTTACTGAAAGTCGTGAAATTTGCCCAATTAATTTGCTCCATTCTCTTATGTGAATGTGGTAGTAGTGCATAATATGTCTGAAAAATGACAAGTGGTTGAATGTGAATATGGGTGTGGTAAAATGTTAATGGTCATCATTGTGGTAATTAAAAGGAAGAACATTATGGGTTCTTAAGATGGTCCTTAATTTAAATGTGAAGGTAATTTTGTCCATCAAAGTGGTATGAAAGGTTATTGGACACATTGTTTCTTAAGATAGTCCTTCAAATGCGAATGTAATTTTTATCTATCAAAGTGGTATGAAAAGATATTGGGCACATTGTTGTTGATGCAAGCCAATTTGAAAAGTTTTGTAAATCCTCCATCAAAATAAAGGAATACAAAGTGGTATTACATTTGGTACAGTTGACCTTTTAAAGTGATGTTGAGGTGAGTCACATAAATTTGATAATGTCAAAGCATGACAATGAGTTTCTGATAAAAACTTATAGAGCATGTACAGATGGTTATGGTTCATTTCTTGAAGAGAATGTGACTTGTGTTCGTATGGATAAGGACATGTTCATGTATGGTTGGATAAATGTCACGTCTCACCTCAACGGGAAGTTTGAGATATTGAAAAAAAAAATTTTGACATAAATGGTCATTTTGGTCATATACTTTGAGTACTACACAAATATTATGGTATGTTTTATTATGAACTATTGGAGGACAAAAGAAAGAAATAATTCTTTTCTATAAAGGTTGTGGTCATGACCAAAATAAATGTTATTGTGTGGCAACACAAATTTGTCATTGATTGTCAAGAAATAAGTCGTAACAATTTTAACCATGACAATAATAATAATTTTCTCCTTGAAGGAGATGGTCACCATAAGAATGGTGTTGTGAAATTTGTGGCAGTACATAAACTTAATTAAGAGTTTCAGAAGAACTAATTTGTTACTATCCAAAAATGAAAATAGTTCATAATATTGAGGTTGTAGTAAGTCTCAAAAGAAAGTTTTTAAGTTTCGGAGGAATTGAAAAAAATATATTATATTGAGAATGTAATTTATTGAAAGATTAAATATCTTTATATTACTACAGTCAAAGCGGGTTATGAATATTTACATAATAGGTTACCCACGTTTCTCTTGTTTGTTGTATACAAATATAGGCATGATGATGGAATCGCATGCAAAAGTAAACTAGAAGTTTACTAGAATAAATATCAATTGGTATAACCAGTTGACCATTTCGGTTCAAACGTGATGCAAAAGAATTGAGAATTCATGTGGTTATATGTTGAAGAAATATAAGATTCTTCAAGAATTGTCATGTGTTGCTTGTTCTCATGATAAAATGATCATTGTACCAGCTAAGGTTGGGATTGTATCCCCTGAAATTATTTGGACCATATAAAAAGGTGAATATGAGCCCGTTCACCTGCCATGTGGACCGCTTACTGTTATGATTTTAATAGATGCATCTATGGTATGGTCACATGTGTAAGGTTGTTTGCTCAAATTGTTAAAATTAAGGGCACAATTCCAAACTATAAAATCATGTTGATAATGCTGGTTGGTTTAGCAGAAATTGTATGTCTCCAATTATAGCTAGACCATTAATGTCACGCCCCGAGCTTACACCCTGGGCGGGACCGGCACCCGGAGACCATTGCTGGCCCCAGGCGAACCCTTGGCCTGGCTTTCTTAACTCAGCGGAAACCTAACTCAACAGAATAACTCAATGCCATGCAAAGACATAAACAACTTAACTAATGAATATATGGCCCAAAGGGCAACTCGAGTCTCAAAATAGAATATTTACATATATATACATATACATGGATGAGAGACTCAAAACTAACTGACTGACTGACTGTTTATTGAAGCCTCTAATATACTGAGATGGATG